AGGTATAACATACATTCAGTACCTGCGTGCTGACACTATTTTAGATGCTTTCTAAAAATATTTTTATTATAGGTGTTATCTCACATATAACTACAATAACGCTACGATACCACTATATTATTCCTCCTTTGCAAATGACAAACCTGATGCTCAGAAACAGTTTAAACTTAAGCTGATTCCACAGTCTACACTGGCTAATGTCAGTACTTTAATGGTTATTAAATATGGTGACCGGCAGTGCTACAGAAAGGTGAGAGCTTCCCACCAGATGTCAAGGACCACCTGTATAGCTTCTAGAATAGCTGTGTGACCCTGTTGAGGAACCTGGTCTCCTGACTGGCTTGAAAAATGAAGCTTTATATGAACCTCAGATCTTATCATTTCCATTTCTGTCAGTTTCATTTTCTAATGTCAGTTATTTTTACATGTGACCAACTCATAGTTCTTTGTTTGAAAACTTTTGAGGGAAAAAAAAATGACTTGCTGAAATAGAAGCGCCATCAAGGCTCCTGGTTTCTTCCAAAACAGTCAGTCAGCCCTTTTAATTTACCTACTTCAGTGGATGTCCCACAGTCCACGTCAATCCACAGTGATGAACAAAAAAAGTAACAAATAGTGTTTTCCATGGAAATGACTAAGAACAGTGGTGCTGAGTCCCATAATAATGCTGAACCACACGGTTTATGAAATGTAGAACAATGGGAACTCAACCTCACATTGACTAAAACTCCAGATTTAGCATCATGTTACATCCTCTGCAGCACAGAGTAGAATGGATCTGCCTGGACACCTGAATTATTTTAGTGAAGTGGTACCATCTTCCCAGTACTGTCTGTGTGACCATTCAACATTCCTGTGAGATTTCTATATACTCTGCCTCGTCTGACTCTCATAACAACACATCAGTAGGTTAAGCAGGTATAAGTATTACCACCATTTCACAGATGAGGACTTTGAGACTGATACAGTAACAGCTTCACTCAAAGGCTCACAGCTAATGAGGGAAAGAGCTGAGGCTGGAACCTACTATTTACCCGCTATGCTCTCTCCATTACCCTTTTCCTACCTCCTAAGCACACACTCACATAGGGAAATACAGCTGATTAAAAGTTTTCACACTGGGAGCTCCTTTCTAAATGACTATAAAGGAATTACTCAGGAGAATGTCTAGGCAACAGAGCAAGATTTGTGAGGAGTCCCTAAGAGTGCCTGATGGGCCAGTGATGTTGGTTACTGCATTTCTCAAGTCTGTTACGGAAGGTCGGCGTTCAGTCCTCAAAGAGTTCTGAACTGGAGGAGCCGGCCTGAGTGCTGGCACAGCGTGTGAGCAGTGTGTGGCATATTGCAACCGATGCATGAGGAGTGTTGTTACGTGGCCGTACGTACACTTAAGTGTCCAGGGCAGGCTGGTATCCTTTAAGCCTTCATCTCTACTAGCAGGTTAAGCAACAATAAAATTAGTAACAATAGCAATCATGATAATGACTTATATTGACTAACATTAGCTTTAATACTCATAAAACTGTACTAAATAGATATGATTAGCCCCATTTTTCATATGAGAAAATTAATGTCAAGCAACATGTCAAAGGTTTTACTGCTACTAAGTGAACAGATAAGATTCGATGTTGGGTTGTCCCCATTTTCAATTCTTTCTACCTTATAAAATATAATACCTAATAATACCTCTTTTATACCTAATTAATTCAGTCAATGGGGACAATAATTCAACCATTAAATATTTCAGCTTCCAAACCTTTCCTTTTCCATTAAACTGTCTAGATCTGTGCTGTCCAATATGATGGCCACATGTAGTTACTGAGCACTGGGAATGTTGTGAGCTGTAACTGAGATGTGCTGTAAATATAAAATACACACAGTACAAAAAGGTGTAAAAGAACTCATTCATAAATGATAATATTGATTACATGTTGAAATGGTAACACTTTGCATATATTGGGTTAATATAAATATATTATTAAAATTCACTTTTTTACTTTTTAATGTTACTAAAAAATTTTAAAACTACATATATAATTGGATAGTACTGCTATAGATTATTATTTCGAGATCCATCTACTTTATCCTCACATACTGATCTCACAGAGAATCAACAAGTATGAAGGTGTTTTTGCTGTTGAGTTATTCTCATGGCATGAGCCTATAACATAAGATATCAAAACACTGTGTTCCATAATATATGTCAGACTGTCTTTTTTACTGTAACCCAAGAAAGAAAATGTCATATTGCAAATCCAGAATGACCTGGTATGCCTTTATCATGTATATACTATATTTAGTTTTACATAGCTATCTGTCAATATAACGGAAACAGCAACTTTATGAAGTAACAGTACTTCCCTTTACCTGATGATACTTTCTCTTCAGTAATCTGCTATTCTACTTTTTTGATGTTGCTTATAACTCACTAGACCAACTTCACCACTCACTAACGTGTTGTAACCCACAGTTTGTAAAACTCTCAAGAATGTCTGCAAATGGGATACTGATTCTATCTACACAGAGGCGAAGGGATATTTAGCAAATAATAAGACAGACCAGGCAGAAATGAATGAGCTAGTGGAGACCTGTAGCAATAGCAAGATCTGTGGCCCATTCAGTTGGCAAAGCTGAAGGGAGTTGAAAACGCTTCCTCTCTCCTACAGAGTCAGCAGTAATGGACCTGTCTAACGCCCATCGGTTGTTCTGTCTGCTCAGCATTACCCATTCTGACAAGTGAGCATGTGCTTCTTTTGGTACCTGCTCTTCCTACCCAGCCCCCACTCCCCACCCCAGCTCCACCCATGAGGTTCAAATAGAAGCTTTCATTTGTTGTAAGCCATGTCCGATGGCTCAGGGGTGGGAACGCAATCCAAGTGAGACCAATCAGAGCCTGCTACTGGGATTTATGGGCATCTAAGTGGAACAGGGAAAAGTCTGTCTTTTCTGATGATAAAACTCCAAAGACTTAACTTAGAATTATAGGAGGGAGTTAAGGAAAGAGAAGTGTATGTGAAAGACACAGAGAGGGCACTGGGCGCAGCTCCTTGTAGGGCCAGCTTCATGGGCATGTGGCCCATGCATTCACATAAGGTCCTGTACTTGTTTAATGTTCTCTTGTGGCCATCTTGAAGTTCTTAATCATTTTCAAACAAAGGATGCTGCAAATTACATAACTGGTCCTGAGGTCTTGGTTCCAAGTTTTCCTTAAACCCAGTGGGATCCTCACCCTTCCTAAGACTGAATCATTCAGCTCTTCTTTTGATTATGTGAGATTCTTCCAACAAATTATCTTTTGTGCTAAGCTTCTTCGAGGTAGAGTCTTTTACTTGCAGCCAAGAAGCAGGACTATGCTGTGATCAAAGACACAGACGAGGCCAAAAACACAATTCTAGAGACTCCGGACCCCACTGCATGCCCAAAAGATAGAGTTCTGTCCTTGCCCCTGAGGTTTCTGATTTTTCAGAACTGCAGCTCCAGGGCCTGAGTATTTCCCCAGAGAGTCCAGAAAGGTCTTTGTGCTTTAGAAAGAACACACGCTACAGTGGTTGGAAGCATTTAGAGACCAACACTGATTTTGGGCATCCTGTAATATAATTTCAGGTGGTATCCTTAACACTGCAAATTCAGTAGGTTTGTATCCAAACTGTACCCTGCTCATGTCTCCGAATAACTGAAAAGCAAGCAAGTAAAATAAAGCATGTTCCAATATCACAGTCTAATTGGGAAAAGGGGTTTCATTTATGTAATACCCACTATCAGCTTTAAAACATATCCATAGGTTATCATGTGTTTATAGAGGAAAATAAAAAAGCCAGACCTAATGATAAGGTGGTCAGTGGCTTAGTTTTGCTTATTTCAGCATGCTTATCTTTAGACTGATCTTTTGGCTGAACTAAAGAACGCAGAACTTGCCGACATTTTTTAAAGCGAAGGAGTGTTTGCCTCTTTCAGTTCGATTTAGTGGCCTGAGGTTTCCCCGTCTCCCTTTGAACTGTTTGCTCTTGAACCACATTTGTTTCTTATGCATTTGGAGTAACTGACTTGCTCCTAAAGGAAGAAGGAATATGAGAAGGCACGTGAGATTCACCTCCAACAGAAAGAACAGATCTAGTTGAAACAAAAGGAGAAAAGTGAGATCATCCAGAGGCGACTGTCACTTTCCACACACACAAAATGCTTCTTTGGATACATTGCAACCATTCCCCCGAAGTATTCTGTAGAATTGCCGTGAGGCACCAACAACAATGATGGGACTTGGGCATGAGAGGATGGATTGGAGGGAAGAAAGTAACAGAGGCTGTGCTCTGGAGACCTGGGTCTTCTTGAAAAACCCCCTGAATTCAGCATTGTTTATACTCCTCAGGAATATGTTAGTGCCTGTAGGTGATGCATGTAAGAAATTCTGTGTGATATCAGCGTGGTCTCTTACACTCTGAATCTTATGTCCTGAAGAAGGTACAGAGGGATGTCAACCCTGACTTCCCCTCCCAGAGAATAGTGGAAACCACACTCTATCAATGCCTTGATGTGTCACCTCGTTTTGTCCTTACGCTAGGCCAGTAAAGTAAGTTTGCAGTGTCCTTGGTTGCAGCTCAGTCGTTCGGCATATATTTATTAAGCACATCTTGCCTGTGGAGCACTGTGCTGCTGGGATACTGCAGTGAATAATACAGATGTGACCCTTTCCCCTTTGGAGTTTACTTTCTCAGAGGGGAATAAAAGGAAATAAGTAGATAAAATAATTGCCAGGGAAATCGGGGTTATCATGGAAAGGTACAAGGAGTTTGAGAGGAGGAAAATAGGAGGGGCAGCCCAGCTCTCTACCTCTGCCTCTCCTGGGCACCCCCAGGCTCCACTTTCTCCTCCCTATACCCCTGTCCAGACAGCGCCCTCCTCCCCTTCCTCCCCCTTTACCCCCTTTTCTCCCCCCACCCTCACTGACCTGCCGCCCCTCCCTCCGCACCCCTGCCCTGCTGCTTGACCCCCTCTCCCCCCCAGGAGCCTTCTACCCCCACTCCACAGCTCAACCGACCGCGCGCGCGCCCGGCCCGAGCGCACCACCCCTGCTCCCTCCTCCGACCCCGCGAGCCCCGGCCGTTGCCAAATGTCCACGATGGGAAACGAGGCCAGTTACCCGGCTGAGATGTGCTCCCACTTTGACAATGATGAAATCAAAAGGCTGGGCAGGAGCTTTAAGAAGCTGGACTTGGACAAATCAGGCTCTCTGAGCGTGGAGGAGTTCATGTCCCTGCCAGAGCTGCGCCACAACCCGTTGGTGCAGCGAGTGATCGACGTCTTCGACACCGACGGCAATGGAGAGGTGGACTTCAAGGAATTCATCCGGGGGGCCTCCCAGTTCAGCGTCAAGAGCGACGAGGAGCAGAAGCTGAGGTTTGCGTTCAGCATTTACGACATGGATAAAGACGGCTACATTTCCAACGGGGAGCTCTTCCAGGTGCTGAAGATGATGGTGGGCAACAACCTGAAGGACTGGCAGCTCCAGCAGCTGGTAGACAAAACCATCATCATCCTGGACAAGGATGGCGATGGGAAGATATCCTTTGAGGAATTCAGTGCTGTGGTCAGAGACCTGGAGATCCACAAGAAGCTGGTCCTCCTCATGTGAGCGTTTTTCTTAGGAGCACTACCCAACAACTGCTTTCTTCCCTACCTCTTTCAAGATTTGCTCAAGACATTCAACTGTCTGACTTACCTGGAAGTATTTCTCTTTGTGAAGGCACATGTCCTAAAAGGAGCTTCATCACCAGCTCAGTGCTATTAATTCTCCTTCTCTGAATGACTCAAGGGACCCTACAGGGGGAAGAGCAAGTCAAAGGAGCATAGTGGGGAAAGAGAGGGAAATGGCTTTTATAAACGTCTCTTTATTTTGATGCAAAGACCAAACTAGAACTTTAAAAATTCAAAAATTAGAAAATATACAGTTTTGCTGTCATTTCTCATGACTTTTTGTATAAGGGAGGAAATTTATAATTTGCATGGGGGTTAGGTGAACTGTTTTCATTTGCCTGTGTTCGGAAATCTTCCCAGATTGTTAACTCTCCTATTGTAGCAACAGGGACAAATACATTTCTCTTTGCCGGGCGTCATGTAATCACTTTTCTTGGGGAACAAAGTCCCATCTTTTGGCAGATTGTGGCCCCACTCCCCACAATGCATCCAGAAATTGCTGTGCATGTTTAAGGGGTAGGAGTTCATTTGGCCTCCTCCTGAGTCATTGCTCCAACTTCTGAACAGAAACTAGCTTCAGGGCTCTTTTAGGAAATGCTAAGCCTGGACTAAGTGGCCAGCTTAACCATCAGCCTCAGTGGCAGTGGGTTTCCAGGGTTGGCAGCCCACTCCAGTATTAAATTCAATGAAGGGGACTTCCAGCTAAGTAGGGCAAGGACCTTCCCAGAACGTGCCCTCACCTCTGACACTGGTCCCTATCCCAGGTGGAGAGAATGGGACATTTAGTCAGTTGTTCCACGGAGGAGAGGCAGTAAAGATTCAGGCTGCAGTGGAATCTCCCTAGGATGCTGAAGTGGCATTGTGTCTGTTGCTCAGAGATGAAGAGACTGACAATTGTGTCTCCACAGCAGAGGTGGATGTTGGCTACACTAGCGATGCTGATTTTGAAAATCAGATCTGGGGCCTAGTAGAGAAGCTGAGAGTTCTCATTCCAGGAAGCCTTTTCACTAATGGAACATTCAGCGCAGAAGTCCTCACACCCTAATAGATCTCCACCATTGGGCGTGCTGGAGCCTGTGGTTTCGAAAGAGATCCAGAATACATGTGTCTCTTCCCACTCATTTCTGTCATGTTGGTAGCTTTAGATCGGCCATGGTGAGAAAGGAACAAAAGCTTCTGGGTTTTTTTGTTTTGTTTTGGAGAATCAGTTTACCGGTAAATACATCACTGCCTATACCCCAAATGTTCCTCACTCCCTGAGGTCGCACATACTACTGTCAGTTCTCAGAGCAGGAACTGTCCTCAGAAGAGCAGGGCTAGGACTGGCCCCAGCATCTGCAGCTTCACCCCAATCCTTTTTGTCACAGAGAACCACTTCCCATATAAGATCTTTAGGCTTTCAGACAACAGAACAATGAAACATACTCTCCCTACACTTGCTTAGCTAAGGGATACCACTCAAGTAACTTTTTTCAGGACACGGAAGATCTGTTTCAAGGAGATTTATTGCTATTTTATTTGGAAGAAGCTGACAACTGGTCTTGACCAAAAATAGAAAGAAAAAAAAAAGTCCACAAATTTAATCACTGGCCGGGAAACCATCTACCAAAGCACCCTACCATATACTTTTTTATTTAATAGATTATTTAGGAACCACAAAAATAGGAATTCTTGCCCCTTCAATTTCTGTGCAACCCTAAAAATTGTGATAAACACTCCCAACCCCGTGGTGTTAACATTATGCAATGTTCAAAGATTCAGACACAGATTCGGTTGCTAGTGGGTTGTTGCCACACTCACCTCTTTTTAGCTGTGTGAACATGAATAATTTACTTAGCCTCTCTGTGTCTTTCCACCTAATTAAAAAGAGGATCCATGCCAGGGTTATTCTGAGGATTCAAAAAGATATGCAACATACCTGGAGCACAATTCCACTTTCATTCAACAAATTGCCTTCTTTTCCCGCTTCCTTCCCTTCTACAAGGCCAATATAAAAGGGAGACATGAGGCTTACTGGTTGCTTTTGAACACTTAGTTCTTAGCCATGCCCACTCTAAAATTAACTGGACATTTGTGTCCAGCCCATGTCCAAGCCCAGAGAGAAAACAATGGGAACAATTTTTCAAGGTCCTCCCACTCCTTCATTTGCAGAGGGGACAATAAACTTTTTGACTTAAGAACCGGAGAAATTTCAAAAGAAAATCTCTCATTCCAGCCCAACCTATTTCTTTTTTGGAGCAATTCTATATGGCGAAAGTGAGCACAAGTCATGCTAGCTAAGAGGACATTATTGTCATTAAAGGGAGACATTATTTATATACCCTGCAATGTGCACATTAAAATATGGAAATTTTAAAATTATGACCAAGGGTTTGAAACATGCTGGATTACATATTCACATTTAACAAAGAGAGGAAATGTATTTCAGTTTCTGGAGTGGCTGGGATGAACAAGCTAATTGTCCAATAAGTCTACCTAAGATAGTTACTCAAGGCTTTGTGGCAATGACCTTCAACTGAGAGCCTGTATCTGGATTTAACACTGGAAAGATCTGACTGGATATTTGGATTAAAAGAATCACATTTATTTCCAAATCACAATGCTTTGTTTTCCTGTCAGTTAATTGCCAGTTGCCAGCAAACCTAGTTCTACACAGTTTCTTGGGGTGATAATAATAAACACTTATTGAGGAATTGTCCCATAACTTTTGATATAACCTTTATTATACATATCGTTTAATCATCATAACACTGTGAGTCTGGTGCCATTATTTCAGCTTTACAGATGACGCCATGTAAAGATCTAGAATCTTCTCCAAAGTCACCCAGCTGGTAAGTGGCAAAGCATGGATTTGAATCAGGATTTCTGACCCCATATCCTGACTTTATTTCTACCTCTCTGCATTTATCTTATTTTTATAGCTCCTATATCTACCTATCTCAAATTATTTATTATAGTCTTAACTATATCATAGTCTTAACTATATTATATATATAATATATAATCTTAACTATATAATACATTATATATATAATATATGTAGTCTTAACTATATTTTTATATATATAACTATATATTATAGTCTTAACTATGTAATCAAATCGAGTCTCAGTTTTCATAAATTATGAAACTGAAGCCTAAAGAGGTCAACTGTTTGTCAAAGAACAAGCAGCCTCCACCTCTTTGGTTCTATGTATTGCAGTGAAACAGATATGTTAGACAATACAGTTTTAAACCATGTTCCACCTTTGGCTCATCTTGATGAAACAGGTGACAGTATTTACATTAAACTGATAACACAAACCAATATGCTCTGAGGCTACTGAGATCAGTCACTATATGTTGTTATGAATCCTATGTTAATGATGGTGTCTGCTCTCTACCATATGTTGCAATCCCCAGACCACTAACACTCTTTCTGAAACAGAGAAAAAAATATGGCCTCAGCAAGTTCCATTTAGCTTTGGTTTATATTCTATCACGCTTTAGAAACATTACCAAGGAAAAAATATCTTCCAGAAATATTTTTTTAAATTACAAATTTCTAAGCCACTGTCCAAGGAACGATACAATTTTTTAAAATGAAAACAATATTTTATTTAAAAAAATTACAAATTCCAACCTTCCCGCCAGCTATAATCAGTAGTTCATATCTGTACAAAAAAAAAATTACAAATTCCATTCTTCACTTATAATACTGATTCTTTCTCTCTATTAAGATACAGAGTAGCTAGTTAGTCTGCTAGGGTGTTAGATCTATTTTGAATACTTTGAACAGGAAGAGGCTCAGCAAATTGTCGTTATGGGACAAGTGGCAGAGGAACAAGGCCACTAGGCTGAGAATCAGACTGGACTCCTCTGCTCCTGTGTCAGCTACTGTACCTACCCCAGTGGCCAGTGACTGTGAACTATAAATCATGAATCCTTAGGAATTCACTGATCATAATGAAAAATTATAACACTGAAGGGTCACTAAAGTAGCAATAAAGCTGTGTAGATCAGAGGACATAATCTGACCATTTATAGGCTAACTCTGACCTACAAATGTTTTTGTTGCTATTAGTTTTATATGGTGTTTGTTCTTACAATGCTTTTTTAAAATTAGCAATATTTTTTAAATCTGAAGATTTTTAATAAAAACCTAAATTAGTACAAAGAAATGCAGGCCACTCTAAGATGGAAGTAGCCTTTTATTGACTAAGGAGCCTCTGAAATATTGAGATAAAATTAAGAGTTTCGGTGAACAAAAATTAACATAGTTACATTCTTTGGCACAAAAGTTCAAAACGGACTGAAGTGTTCACTATTTTTCAAAAATATAACACTGGACACAAACTATTTATTCCTGCAATTGATGTTTTCTAATGCCTGAAATGGTAGAAGATTGTACAATAATCAAAATAAATTATACCTGTGTAAAATTTAACAAAACAAAGATAACAGGAAAACATAAAAAAGGGGAAACATAACATGTTAGCAAAAGGGTTAGCAGTTTTTCAACAAAAAGTCTCACTGTGTCTGATATGCATAAATATATGTGCAAAAAAAGTCATTACATGATTCATACAAAAGGAGACAGGTAAAACAAACATGGAAAAATTGCCTTACTAATTCAATAAATATAAATTACAATATTTAAAACAGGAAAAAAATGATGAATTGTAAAACAGAATTGGCAAAAATAGAAGGTCCCGAGCATTGCAGCATCTTTCATGGCATTGGAAATCGCTTCCACCCTTTTCATGGGTCATTTTACACATCACAAGTCATCAGAATGGTTGTACCTTTTGACCAGGTAATCTCACTCATTGCTATATATATCTGAAAGAAAGAAAAATATTTTAAAACGCTGTATGTGGCCAGGCATGCTGGCTGATGCCTTAATCCCAGCACTTTAGGAGGCCAAGGCAGGAGGATAACTTGAAGTCAGGAGTTCAAGACCAGTCTGGCCAACATGGTGAAACCCTATCTCTAATAAAAACACAAAAATTAGCCAGGCATGGTGGTACATGCCTGTAGTCCCAGCTACTTGGGAGGCTGAAGCAGGAGAATCATTTGAACCTAAGAAGCAGAGGTTGCAGTGAGTTGAGATTGCTTCACTGCACTCTGACTTGGGAGACGGCAAAACTCTGTCTCAAAAACAGAAAAAAAAAAATGGTATACACAAAATTTTTTATTGTAGCAATATTTGTTATATATACAAAAAATTATAATATTTTAAAAATTAAACACCTACAGTTTGGGATTAGTCAAGTCAATTATAATAAAAAATAATAGGTAATAGTGTTAGGCCACTAAATTAATAAATAAAATAATATTTAGAAAATATTTTTAGAAATTAATATTAGTTTGTTAGAAAATAAGTTTGTTTAAAAGCATAATTCAAACTTGTTATATCCTATGTTTAGAACTCTG